CTCTTGCGAAAAAGAACTTCAATTCTTACCTTCAATTCAATCACTTCTTTTTTCTAACTTTCCATCCATTCTATATCACATTTTCAGCTTTGTGAGTTTGTCTATTCGACATCTCTTTTTCTCACAAATATACAGTAAATGTTTTTCAAAAAAATAAACCGGAATGAATGCTTGGTCTGAATGTTGGAGTCATTCTTAATAAACATGCTGACAGCAGTGACATCTACAACCTTGAAGTGTTATTGACCGCAAGATTTCCATGCTTTTTGTTATGCAATATTCTTATGAGAAAAACTGATAAAATTGCAAATTATTGCCAGGTTTTACAAGAATGTCCTGAAAATCGTGAATTTTGATGGAAAATCTCTATGAAGTTTACAAATCACAAACTTTTATTTAGTGACTCCAACCGTGCATTTTAAATGCCTTTGTATTCTTCTCCAGGTGCAAAAAATCTGAAAAGTTTACAAACATTTTGAGGAATGCAACAAAATACAGCCAGACATCTCTCATTTGAAGTCAAAGAGACCCAAAATCATTTCAGAGTTTCCAAGTAACGAAAACGAGCATTTTTTTTCTGGAAAATAAAGTCCAGAAAATTGACAAAGTCTTTGTTGGTCTTTTGTTCCTTTAAAGTTTAAGCATTTGAAGGAAAAAATTCATTAACAGGATGCTCAACTCGAATAATTTGTCATTCGCTCAATTTTCCACTCAATTTTTGTTGAGAAGCATTTACTGCATTGGTATTTTTATTGCTCTTCCAATTCTTGGGTCCGTATAGAATGATAACCAGAAGGCATAAAGAAATTTGAGTTATAAAGGTTTGAGGAAGTTTTCTTTCGGGTTAAGGAGATTTAGATACCACGGTTCTGAAAAGGACTTCAGATAGTGACTAAATAGAACCAAAATATTGACACAAAAGAAAGTTTCCGACTTGAAAAGGTTCGAGAGATAAGCAAGAGATCATAATTTTACATGCATCTCACAGCAAAAAAGATCTTCCTTCGTACAAAAAAAAAAGTTCCATCATTAAATTTACAAAAATGCGTGAAAAAGCCCAAGAGTTTTTAAGCTTTTTTTATAAAGCGGCACTTTCTTATATTTATTTACCGTGGTTTCCTCTTTAAGCAACCCGAGTCTCCTCTTTTACCGAAAACCCGGAATACCCGGAATAACTGCGAGTCTGTCAAGTCCCGTGTCTTTATGTTCGACTCCTCTTCACCGCCGCCCGTTTCGTGTTGGAAAGATTTACAAGCGATAAGGAACGCTTTTTCTAGAACATGCTCATAACTTGTCTAGGGGCCAAGAAGGCATTTCCAGGGGGTTTGAGCCACTGCAAAGCTCCTGTCTTCTTTTGAGTGATCTCACGTCCGTGGTGGTTATTGAAAACAAAAGTAAAGGAAGAGCAAAAAACCTGAAGAAAATTGCTCTCTCACTAGTTGTAAGTACAGGTGAACCTTGATAACTGGAATCTCCCCAAGTCAAATACCGCCCTAAGTTGAATTTTTTTTCAGATCCTCATCTGAATCCCCTTAGAAATAATGCATTAAAAACCTCCCTGAGTCAAAGGCTTTCCCCCTCAAACCTCTGTAAATTAAATTTTCTGTGGCCTGTTGGCTAGTATTTTATTTACGCAAGAAATAAATAAAACAGTTTTTTTTTAAAATGAAGTGCAAGACTTGATTGGATAAATGAACCCCAGCCTAAAAGTTCAGCATCCTTTCAACGCATTAAAGAAGCAATTTAAGCACCAGAATACCCCCATTTACAATTTTTGTCAATTTCTCCATGTTTCCCAAAAAAAGAGCCTTGTATTGTAGCTCAAACCTCTATAATTTAAAACCTTTCAAAGTCAATTTTTTTGCTGGGCACACAAAATACGATAAAAAAATGAAGGAACATAATTCTATTTTCACGCATGCAATTCATTGAGAAACTAAAAAAAAATTGCCACAGACGCACTTTAAAACAAACAACGATAATGAAGTTTATTGAAGGAAAATTTAAACTAAATCTGCTTCTTGAAGATTTTCTCTCATCTATTTCTGTTGCCACTGGTATTCTAAATTGCCAAATAAACAATAAATATGGGATTACTGTATCATGCTCAAGTCTTCTATAGATTGTCTTGCTTCATTGACTTAAATCATAAATGGAAGATTTGTAAATTTTCATTTCCTGGAATAATTCCCCGTTAAAATGTGCCATGGTTAAAAAAAAAACATTTTGCATGGTTCACACTTTTTATAGTGCCAATGAAAATAATTCAAAGCGTTTTTATTCTGTGCCAGACATCGAACCATGATTTCATTAATTTTTTTCGAAAAAGAATATGGGGTATTTGCTTCGTTCTGTTTCGTGAACTGGATGCAGAACATTTCTGTCCTCTTTCTTCTTTTCCACGAAAAAAAATCCAGTTACTGTGGCATTTTTTTGTGTGTCTCGTGGGGCCACAATAAATCTGTCACTGGATGCCACCCTGTGGTTGGTGTTTTCATTTTTGCCTTGTAAAACAGTTCCGACGGAGCAAATAGAAAAACACACAAAAAAAATAAATAAAAACTTCACACGACTCCCGGCAGGGTTACGAGACTGGCGAAATGAATGTCGAGACAGCTTCGTTCTGCCCCCCTTTTTTCCTTTCGGAAAACCGTAGGTATATACTACTGTTATTTTCATTTTATTTATGTGTAAAATCTGAGATGAATGGTTTTATTTTTTTATTTCCTTTTTTTCCATTTGGTGAATGGAGAGCCAGGGGGATTCGCGTTGGCCATTTGCGTCGCGTTTTACGGGGTTGTTAATGACGCCGGGAGTGTGTTGAGCAGATGCTGGGGTTCTTCAGTCATTTCGGGGTGTGTTTGAAGCCAGAGGTTCACATTCTGAAAGCTTTTCACTCTTTCCATTTCTTTCTGGTCTTNGCCATTTGCGTCGCGTTTTACGGGGTTGTTAATGACGCCGGGAGTGTGTTGAGCAGATGCTGGGGTTCTTCAGTCATTTCGGGGTGTGTTTGAAGCCAGAGGTTCACATTCTGAAAGCTTTTCACTCTTTCCATTTCTTTCTGGTCTTTGTAAAAAAAAAAAATGTGTAGAAAAGTAATGGAAGGTTTTTTTTTAGGTGAACGCGATCGTCAACCAGAAGTTCGCCTACCGGTTGTTATAATTTTCTTTTTCTTGCGCCTGGAGAAAAAAATTTTGTGAGTCGAAAAAGGCTTTTGTCGCATGGAAAAAAATTCACCAAAGCCACTTGTAGGTGTTGTCCTATTTTTGTTTTCATTCCCCAGTATTTTCCGTTCGAACATGAGCAAACATTGCAGCTCAAGTCAATTCAATTGTTCTTCTTGAAAAGATTACAGAATTAAAGACAGGTGAATGGTCAGAAAATTGAAATAATTATTATTATAATTATTAATATGAAGAAGCTTGCACTCATTGAAACTTCAGGAAAGTGGTTCTTGAAAATGCTGAGAGGAAAATCATTCCTATCCGTGAGTACTTGTCTGAAAAGCGAAGATCTTGAGAAAATTTATCCTAGGATCTCGACCTGGGTGACTTATTATTTTTCCGAAGCTTTGTAATAAAATCTGTAGAATTACGATTCAATGCAGGAATATGTCAGATGACCAGTTGTATTTCATGGATTGTATTATCTTTTATTTTTGTTATCAATTTGTGCTCTGTTTCCTGCTCTGAAGTGATTAAATGTCATTGAATGGATTTGGGTTGGGTGGGGACAAGGGTTCGGTTGTGGAAATCTTGATTGAACCTCGTGAACGCTGAAAATCAGCAAATAAAGTGTTCTGTTCATTCATTCAAGGTTTCAAATTATGAAAATAAAGTTCGTTTTTCCTTGAAACTTTCTCAGAATTACAGTTGATTCAGGTCTGAAACCAATAATTCGGTTTTGGTTGAGAAAATTTAGGATTTCAAATATTTTTTCGGAACCTGGAAATTGTTTCCGACGAGCAGAATTTAATGCCAAATTCTGGGTCATTTCTGCAGCTTCTTCCCTCAATATTTGAAATACGCCAAAAATACCGGGTATTTTTCAACAGCACAGTTAAATTTTCCACTGCCCCTTATAAACGACTTATAAACTTGAAGGTCGAAAAATAAAAACTCAACTTGAGAATACGATGCGATATTTCGCAATTGCCGTTATTACTCTCCAACCAAACAATGAAAAACACCTGATTCGAGAAAAAAGTCGACTTCTCCACAGAAGAATCCCCATGTTATCATAGCTCTACGTATAGTTATGTAAGCACTAGCATTGGAACCTAAGTTTAGTTAAAGCAGCTCAAAGCTGTTTTCTTTTATTGGTTCATAACGAGTTCTTCAGCCTGAAACAAGGCCTAAATTCCGAATGTACAGTATATTATTCTTTATACAGTATTTGGAATTGGATTGGAGCTTTAAAAAAAAAATTCCAGGATGAAGTTCGAATGATGAAGACAACATTCCTCGAGGATGTGGGACGACTTCGAAGCGAGGTCATCAAATTTATTTTTTCACCCTCGGAAAAAAAAATAATTCCGCGGTGACATTTTTGGGTTTAGTGCGCCCGAGTTGCGCAATAATTACCTTGACCCTAAATACAGTGGCAGTAATTTGAATGCAAATTCGTGAATTTTTAAATTTCATGTAGGAAGGCTTGGAATGGACTCTCATGAAAAAAAACTAAAGCGAAGGGTTCTTATATCAAGAAGACCAAACAAAGCAAGCGTCATTTAAATCGTAACCCAGTGCAATAATGTTACTTGGAACTTGTTTTCCCCATAAAAAGTCAACTCCCACGTAAATAACAGGAGCATTCTTTATTCATCAAGAAAGAAAATTGCTCTTGCTTAATGCTTATGTTCTAGATGCAGAATTTCATAACTCCTGAACAACACTTTTTGGATTTTATTTAAAATTACAGTTGAACCTTTCTCAGTCAAATTTCAAGGGACCATGAAAAAAATTCGATTTAGGGAGGTTTTTGAATAGGAAATTAAGCATTTATTTGCAGGAAACATGCAAAAATTTCAGGAAATTGTAAATGGTGATATTCTGGGCCTTTGAAATTACTTCTTAAATGAGTTATTACAGAATGTTGAACTTGAAGGCAGGGCTTAATTTGCCCAATTAATCTGGCACGTCATTTCAAAACACATTGAGTTACTTGTTTTATTGCTTTTATCTTTCATGTTAAGTATCAAGAAAGTAATAGCCAAAAGTCTGCAGAAAAGTTGACTAAAGGAGGTTTGAGAGAAGAAGACCTTGAGTTAGGGAGGTTTCAAATACTGTACATTGTTTCTAAGAGAATTCAGACAGGGATTTGAGGTTCAACTTATCAAGGTTTCACTGGATAGACCTAACCTAGAATTTAAACTACAAAAAGGGGGTTGAAAAAGATGGAAAACACAAAAGAAAATATTATATCACAACATGGGATTTTTAACCAATTTCAACAGACAATTCAAAATATGGAAAAAATGGAACACCTGCATTAAATTCGACTAGGATTCAAATCAAAATTTCAAATTTGATGTATTTTACTTTCAAAATATTTCAATTGTCAGTTGCTAAAACTGGGGTGCACATCTTACTTGAGGGAAATTTTACTCCAGATATCAGGTTGAAAAATGCAGGTCCATGTCATAGAGTTCCCCGTATACCTTTAGTTCTTGTCAACCCGGGGTTCTACACCTGTATTAACCCCGAACTTGTAATAACAGGGATAACAACCCCTGACTCCCCACGTTGGTATTTATTTATTAATGTTTCATAGAATAAACTGCCTGGCATCCCTGAAACTGGTGCTGAGGCTTTTATAGAGCCCAGCACCAAAGAACTTGTCCCCAAGAACCTTCAAAACTTATATGTACAAAATTGCTGCACATCATCTTTGAATTTGACTTGAATGGCCAATCAGAAAGCAAGGAGCAAAGAATCCCAACCTTCCCCAAGAACAAGTTTAACCCAACCCTTCCTGGAGAAGGCTTAAAAAAGCTGCAAAAACTTGAAATCAATAGCACATTCTCATTTGGAATCTCATCCCCATTCTTAGCTTCCACTACTTAAATCAATTCTCTGAGAAATTGGGTGAACTATTATGTGCATGTATTTTTCTTGAAGAAGATGCTGAGTTGATTCTTTTGGGTCATGAATAGAAATGAATTTCTACGAAGAGGTTCCTAACCAGTCCCAAGCTGAATGTGCTGTTTTATTCATAAATTATCTTTCTTTGGGAAAATCCTTAATGCCTATGTTGGGATTGTCTGCATGCTGGATCACATTGCCCTACTGACTTCAATGGAAACATATTCAATTGGTTCTCCTGTTCATAAAAAAATAATTATGTTTCCAAAAAATTGAATAAAACTTTCTTCTCAACTTAAAGATACATAAATTACATGAATATTGAAGAAAGCCACAAAGAATTTCATATTTTGGCATTGGAAGGAGAAAAGAACAAGAACAAGTCATATTGCACCCACATCATGGGAAAACTCTCAAGAAAGCACAAAAATTAGCTTGTTTTTAATTCTATGAATCCGGGTATTTTTTAAATGAATTTTATTTTTACGCTGTGGATATAAGCAGCTAACTTTTTGAAAAGATACAACATTTTTAGAGGTAATTCTCACAGTATTACTTAGCAATCTTGGAAAAGTGTTCATATCTAGAGACAATATTCTCGGGATGTTGGGACAGATATTTTTGTTTTTTTTCAAGCGTCATAAATCAGCCAGATAAAATATTGCAACCAAAGACTCCTTGGTCTTGAGGAAGATTACTTGTTGACATCCTTTTCTTCTTCCTCTTCTGTCATCATGAAAAGGTCATTTCACTCCTTGATGCTAATCCATCATCACAATGACTGGGATGCTTTCATGAAAAAAAAATTATAAAAACCTGTTCTTCTATCTTCCAATGACACCCCATGGGGGGGGGGGGGGAAATGAAGTAGAATTACAGCCCGGAATAACGGTTGGATTTCACTTGGTCCGCGAGAATCGTGTCACGTATTTCACACGAAATCACAGTATCGCGAATTTTTGTAACGCAATTTTCTCCTCCGCCCTGAGGCGCGGTTACAGTTGGCCAGAATACCCGCCTGTTGCCTTTTTTTTTTCAACAAAAAATAAAACAACAAAAAACAAGGATGTGATACACATTTTCATTCACTCATCGTCACTCGCCATAAAAGGGACGAGTGGAGGTAATTCGTACGAGCGATCATACACTGTACTCATTTATTTTCCGTTGGCAAGTTTCAAGAACTCGACAAAAATCAATCCATCACGTTTCGTGCGAACATTATCCACGATACTCTATCTTTTACGCTTCCCCGCATTTGTCGAATTTGAGACGAATTTCATTGAGAAAAACGAGAGGAAAAACACAGGGCGCACGTGGGAATAAGACCTATGATCCAGTTTGAATTTTCATTAAAAAAAAAGTAAGATAAATATTCGACCATACATGTTGAAAGTACCATGAGATAATGCTAGAGGCGCCACTAGGTTAATTTTAATTAGTGTCTTATTAATTGAGACGCAAGTAGATACATTTTTATAGAAGTCAACCAAAACATGCTAGATTATTGTCCCAATGACGCGTGGCTTTAAATAACTATAGCAAACAGTCAGGTAAACAATTTTCAACTTGATTATGCCAAAAAAGACTTTTCTGAACTTTTGTAATGCATTTTGGCGTAATTCAGGCTCAAAATTGGACCAAGAACTTCAAGTAATTGAATTGTGCACCAAGCAATCAAATACTCGAGTCATGATTCATTATTTACTCAATATTTCAGCACTCAATTTTCTTGACCAATTCGGTCAACTCCTGAAGACGTGTTAGACACAAAAATGAATTAATGCAACACCATTGAAATAGAGGTTCTTTAAAAAGAAAATCTCCCAGTTCGTCCAAGGAAATTAACTACTCTGTAATTAAGACTCAGCTTTCAAAAAAAGGGTAGATGTCACTAGTAGTCCTCAAACAAAAATTTTGTTCCAATCTGAGTCATCCCATGTTTATCCCTCTAATTCTGGATAATAAAGGCATGTCTATTAATATAAGAACAATGGAAAGTTAGAGGTTTCCATTGACAGTTGCACTGTAATAACTGAAACCTGTGTAAGCCAAATATCTTCCAATCTCAAATATGTTTTCAATAAGTCCCTGACTGATTTTCGTGAGATCAATACATTAAAAACCTACCGAAGTCAAAGGCTTTCCTCCTCTACCCTCCATAACTTATTGCATTTCCTGCCTATTATTTTATGGACCCAGGAAAGAGAATATTAATAAAAAATGTAACTAATGCGTTTTGAAAGGAAGCAAGAGACCATTTGGGTAAAGGAACGCTTGCCTCAAAGTTCAGCATATTGTCAACTCATTTGAGAAGCATTTTAAGGCCCAAAGTATCACCAAATACAATTTCATGCAATTTTCCCCCATTTTCCACAACAAAAAATTGCTTGTTCCCCTACACATGGAAATTTCTCCAATAACTGAAATTTTTTTTACTAAACCGTTGAAATTTGACTCAAAGCGATTCAATATACAACTACAGTACAATATATGTTGACCTCAATTGAGCTTGTTTTCATTTTTCACAAAATGTGATCTTGCAAATTCACTTCAAAATATATTCACCAAACACTTTTTTCAATCCTGGATTTTCCACTTGACACTATTAATTTTTTTTGGGACACCAGAAGCACTCTTAAAACACACCACCATTAAACATTCACTGCAATATTGTCAATTTTTCCACGTAAATATAAAAAACAATATCACTGTATTGGAACACAAAAACAGCACCACAATGTGTGAATAATTACCCTGAAATTAATTCCAGGTGGACTCCCTCGACAACAAAATTCAAATAGGACCAGAAAAAATTTTTTTTTTTTAGATGTATACATAGAGAACCCCTATAACTTGGGGAACTAACCTCACATGAGATCAACAAAAATGCGTTATACAGAGGACATTGTTGTAGCGTGAGTCCACCGGTATAGTCAGGGAATTGGGGACTATGACTCCTCACAATGCTAAAAAAAAAAATAATAATGATCACAGGTGAGTGGGAAAAAACGGCGTCCCTCCAATGGGACCGCCCGACCTGGACGCCGGTCCGCCGCCGACTGACTGCCCGCCACACGCTGCCTGGTTTTTACCTGTGTCCGAGGTCCTACACCGGTTGTCCGTCGTTTACTGCTCAGTCAGCATGAGTGCTCTGGTGGTGTCTTAACTTTTTCTTTTTTTGAATTAATATTAGTAGACAGACACAACTCCAGTGTCCCGTGCTGGTACCAAATACGTTTTGCTGCTGCCACACGGACGGGACCACTCCCAAAATTCTGCGCCACCACAGCATATATAATGCGCACCCACTTCCTTTTTATTTTTATAATTGCTGTGCAAATTCCTGACGTGATTATATTTTTTGTTTTCGGCTAAAGATACAGCTGACATATTTGCAGACGAGGAACCGTCGAAAATAAGGTATACATTTGAACCTCACTCATTTCAATTTGAAGAGAAACCAAATTAAGTTCCGTTTTGGGAGTTCCTGAGTTTGAAGAAAATGGCTTGAAATGTATAAGTTAATCAATTTAAATCATTTTCTTGCAAAAAGATTCATCATTCTAAGATGCACAGCTTTCATGGATTTGGCAAAACCCTTATGTGAGAAGCATTGAAATAAATACTGGCACATATTTTGGATCTTGTGTTATTAAACTAGCCCTGCTCAATATTACAAAGGGCATGGGAAATTTGAATGAGGGAAGCCAGAGCCAATTTTTTTCTTCACTTATGGAGGTTTGAAATGCATTGGCATTGAATGAACTGGCCAGGGATTTTGTGGAAATTGGAGGTACAGATATTTTTGAATAAAAAAGAAACTGAACTGCATTTTTGCTGTCTAATTTTTCTGCAGTTTTGGAAAACTCTGGGAAGAATGAATCCCTTTTTCTTTCAATGAATATTCAGTGTTAATCATATGCAAGAAAAAGTTCTACCCAGCAAGGAATTTTTTTCAGTTGAAGTCAAATTTTGGACTTCATCCTTCCTCAGGCTTTGGATCTAAAATAAAATATTTCTTTTAGAGCTCATGGACACACAAATTTGATTGCTCAATTCAAAAGAAATTCACTTTTTAAATTTGTGTGATTCAAAGTAATATCATTATGCTATTAAAAATATGGTATACAGGTGGTACCTTGCAATTTGACCCTAATCCATTGCCAAACTAGGTTAAAATTGCAACGCAGTCAAATTGCAAGACACTGTCGAATTCAAAATATAAGTACAAAAATGGAAAAAGCAGGTCAAATTGTGGGTCAAGGGTTGAATTGCAAGTAAACTGTGGTGGGTCCTTAGACCACACAACAAAGATTTGGTTTATAGTGAAATAAACTCAGTAAGCACAGTTGGCCATTTGCGGCCTGAGGATTCCAAACTCCTCAACATCTGTTTATAACTCAAAGTCCAAGTCCACAATTATTTTCCAACCAAACTCCCTGCNCTTTGGATCTAAAATAAAATATTTCTTTTAGAGCTCATGGACACACAAATTTGATTGCTCAATTCAAAAGAAATTCACTTTTTAAATTTGTGTGATTCAAAGTAATATCATTATGCTATTAAAAATACGGTATACAGGTGGTACCTTGCAATTTGACCCTAATCCATTGCCAAACTAGGTTAAAATTGCAACGCAGTCAAATTGCAAGACACTGTCAAATTCAAAATATAAGTACAAAAATGGAAAAAGCAGGTCAAATTGTGGGGCAAGGGTTGAATTGCAAGTAAACTGTGGTGGGTCCTTAGACCACACAACAAAGATTTGGTTTATAGTGAAATAAACTCAGTAAGCACAATTGGCCATTTGCGGCCTGAGGATTCCAAACTCCTCAACATCTGTTCAAGTAATAATAACTCGAAGTCTAAGTCCACAAATATTTTCCAACCAAACTCCCTGCAAATTTAACCATTGATTTGCAGAACAGTTGAATTGCAGGAGGTCAAATTGCAAGCGTGCCATCTGAGCTCAGCTCAAAGCTTGTGTTCAGGCATTCCTTTTGATTAGCAATGGAAAACTGAATAAACTTGATGTATTACAGTATTTCTGATTTGTTGAAAAATGGACCCTCAGGCAAGATATAAAATTATGCGTGCTTTCAATAACAGCCAAGAATGCAATCATTGAAAATTTAAAATAGTCTCACAAATTGGAAAGATTTGCAAGAACTTTATGCCCTAACCTTGAAGCCAAAAGAAAACAAAATTAATTTTCGATCAAAGGATTAAGAAACCTGGAGTTGGTCAAGTCGCCTAGATGAGACTCATTCCAGCAACAGCAGAGAGAGAGAGAGAGAGATCACTCATCATCAGAAAAGATCAAAAGTCATTACGCAGTTGGTAACACTATTTCGAGACACGCTTCATTACGAATGCGCACTAATTAAACCCTATAATTAAATTCATCCCGACCCCCGATTCATCCCCGCCATATTTTCAATACTACAGCGCGCGACTTGGTATACTAATCGTGACATTCGCAGGACGGAATGGCCGATAAGTCAAGATTTTTCTACTTTTATATTCTATCTTCTTTTTTTTCAAGTTTTGCAGTGAGCAGATGACGGACTGTAGGAGGACAGGTGCAAGTATGAGCACCTGTCCTCCCAATAATCAAAGCGCATCTCACAACACTACATCCTGTCCAGATAAGGGAGTTTAATTGGGCACCCGTTCATTCGCCGACTTCCCCCCTGAACAAAAGCCAGGTTCAGGAAAAATGAAATCCCGATGTTCAAGCAGCAGCTGTGAGGAACATTTCTTCAACAGCAAAAAAAAATATATATAATTGAAGGGGGGAGAGAAGGGAGGAAATCATACGGAAGACAGGTCGATGATTTCTTCCCTTCCATTCATCTGATGAAAATTTTTGAGTTTCAGGAGCACATTTAATTTTTGAGAAAATACATAGTCAGTACTGAAATTCAATGAAGAGACACTTTTGGAACTCTTAAAGGATCAAGAAAAATGTTTGGCCTTATATGATTTCTCATCAAAGATTCTCTCTAAATTGTTCATTGAACTAAAACTCATACAGAAAAAGGCTGAAGACCTTGTGCTTTAAATAAACTTTTACTGCTGCTTTGTCTTCAATATTGGGGATGGGTGGGTGTATGCAACATACGCGTAGGATGTCCAGTTTTTTATTTTTTAGAGTGCGTTCTCTTTTGTTTTTGTCATTGGTTTATGCTTTGTTTCATGCTTTTAAGTGATTGAATGTATTTTGGGGGAGTTGGGTTGGGTGGGGAGGGGGTTTGGATGCCGGAGTTTTGGTTGTACCTTGTGAATGCTGAAAAGCGGCAAATAAAGTTTTCTGTTCATTCATTCATTCACATAGTCAGTCAGCAGTCAGACATGCATAGGTGATAGGAAACAATGACTGATATATTTTTTTAATAAATCTGGAATTTTAATCTAAAATTGAAAAAAATTAAACAATTCATTGCACTTGAAAATTGATAACTCAAACCTCATCCTCAAATGAAATTTTGGTTGAAGTAAGAAATAATGGGGGCACCACCCAACAATAAACTCAGAGAGCCCCAGAAAATCTTTGAAAATTGAATTCCCATATAGAAACAATTTGTTAAAAACCTTCAAAACTCAGGAGGCCTTCTGGCTATTATTTTTCTTGACACAGGAAAGAGAAAAAGAAATCAAAATATAACTCTATGCACTCTGAAAGAAAGTAAAAGACCAATCTGGCACATGAACCCTTGTCTCCAAGATCAGCATTCTGTCAACTCATTTATGAAGCAATTCAGGGTCCATAATATCACCAATTAAAATTTCCTGGAATTCTTCTTTCTCTTCCCCAACAAAAATTTTTGCTTCCCCAACTGGAAACCTCTGTATAACTTAACTTTTTCTGCTGGTCTTTGAAGTTTGACTATACCTTAATCTGATGAAGGGCATTGTTCTCAAGAAAATTGAAAGCAAAACATGAACTATTCCAGAAAAGTTTTAATCCATCATCAACTCAAAAAAAGAAATTGTAGATCACTGCTTTTATTGATTCCAAATCTGTCATGAACCTCGCCATTCACAATATTCTCAGCAAATAGAATATATTCATGTCATCTCAAAAATAATTTCTTGGCCACAAAAACGACCCATTCGTCCATCCCGAAACACGCGCATTTTCTGGTTTTTTTGGGGAGGAAAGATTCGAAATAAAATGTCAAAAGCATTGAGAAGGAAGATAATTTGAATCTCATTGTCTTCGTTCTGTCGTTGTTTTTCCAAGAAAGGCTGATTCACGCCAATCTTTTTTTTTTTTTTTTTACGTTGACAAAAACGAAGGTCGAAAGCGAACTGCTCCTCATTACTACTATACTGTCTTATTATTAATATTATTAGAATTGGACAAAATCAACAGGATAAATCGTTTAATGCTCCAAAAGCCGACTCAGTACAGGTTGTTAAACCTGTTCAGGATAAAAGAAATTTCCTCACTGCAATGAATAATGAGCGGATTATTCCTTTCCGAGGCTGGCAAACACCAACAAATGAAACCTTTTGGTTCTTTTGTCAAAACAAGATAACGAGTGAAATCACTCGCCAATTTCATTGTTTATTTGGCCGGTAACCTTTCCATTCCTCGTAAGTTTTATTCCTGTTCATGATTTTTGTCCAGCATTTAAACTTAAGTGCTTCGTATTAAAACAGTTGAAGAAAAAATAAATAAATCACCTCGTTTTTAAATTCAAGGGCAGGTTAAATGATCTTGCAACTGACTGCGAATCAATTCACGTGAAATAATAAATTCATTCACGCACCTAAAAATCCGTAGAGCAAAATTAAAATCATCTTTTTCAAATATTCAAATTACTTTCCACGTACTGATTCTGAAATGTACTCAGCTGAATTCGTGATACAAAATAAAACTCACCACTGACAAAATGTGAGTGAGTTTGTCCGATGCTCGTTTGCTCCTTGTGAAGATTTTATGAACCGTCAAACCTGAAAGAAAAAAAAATCAATTTGAACATTGGTCAAAAAAATGGTCAATTTTCAACTCGTAACTAAAGCTTCGTGCATAAATAATCATGGCGAGTGAAAGACTTTCATGTACTGACTATAGCCCCGGAAAAAGTTGCGCAGAAAAATCCGCGAGTTCCCTACACTACACAGGGAATGCAAAAATAATGGCACACCAGGAATGCGTGGCAAAACGGCTCCCCCCTTTCTGCACTTCATTTATTTCCCGTACATAACGACAAGCACCTCAAGAAGTGGGGAAGGGTGTAACCCGACTCTTGGAAAAGAGCGGAGAAAAAATAAATTCATGGGTCACCGACAAAGGAACCCATTTCCTCGGGCCCCCGTCAGAAAAATATCCCACCCCGAAGGCCGAATGGCAACAATTCTGCACATATGCAAGAGGGGAAACTCAACTGAAAAAAAAAAATGTTTTGCACGCCAACAAAGAAGCACTCACTATATATATATATCTATGTATACAGTACGTGTCTCGAATTCCACAAGCAAGTTTTGTCGTGAAACCCGGCCTTGGTTCTGAGATTTCTTGCTCCTTATTATTGGAATTCCAGGAAGTTACAAATGAATGAGTACGAAATACTTGTAAAAATATTCACCAATACGAATTTAAAATCAAAAGCTTTACGCTTGTAAGGAAACACGTTTGAAACCCTTCATCAAGAACCCGGATACGTGGCATGATTAAAGGTTATTCTGCATTTAATTTAATTATTTTTCAGAATTCAAGCAGGTCGAAGATTTCAGATTTTCACCGATTAGATGGAATTGAAGGTTTCTTTGCTGAAATCTTGGATAACCTGAGTTTTGGTTGAGATCTGCGACGAATAAGGGTCAGAAGACTTGCGTAAGTTTTGCCTAGATATTGTTAAAGATTTACGCCGGCTGTCCTCAACTCTTTGATTTTTTCTACCATGGAGTAGGTGTCGCCCCTGCGCCATCCCTAATCAGAGCTACTTCAAAATGGAATTTAGGATTGTATCACTTGTCCAATCTAGCACAGGGATGACACGACCATTTTCTTCTTCCCCCTAAGTGCCATTGGCTTTTAAATGAAAATTGCATGCATCAAAAAAATGTTTGACTTAACCTGAACAACATCTGAGCTGGTGAATGTAGTTTGTCTTTTAACTTCCACAGGTGTTGCCCAGGAATGCCCATACTACAAGAAATTATAACTGTCAAATTCGGATACCAATCTTACAAAAAGGCTCATATTGTACAAACTCACAGTCACAGTTGAGGAAATGTATGGGCATTAACATCAGAAATACGATTTCAACACAAGTAGTCTTGTTAATCAATTCTCAAACCAGATCTGATTTGCTTCTTTTAGGATATTTTTGATCATGTTCACCCAAAAATTTGGCACTCGCACAATCAATTTTGAAGTTTGATCAAATCACCATGCTGATGACAACAATTATCAAAATGATGATTATGGTCTTAATGATTGTCATGGCCTTTTGAAATTACCGTAATTTCCACAAGATACTGCTCTCATTTGCTCATTGAATCCATCAATTACTTCCCTTCCCAAAGATCAGAATATTTCTTGAGCTTTTCAATCATCAATGACAATCACCTTGGGGAATTAGGGCACATGCTTTTTGTGCACTCGTTCAAGAACGCTAAATTTCCCATAACATGGAACATGATCTATTTGTAAAAAAAAAATTGACTTTTGGCTGTATTTATTCAAGTACACAGGGCACTTTTTTTTTAAAGAATTGAAAGAAAAGAGAGGGTGCACATCATATGCAGGTCTAACATAAAAATTCAATGTTCTGTTCATGTGATCATTTCATATTTGAATACAACAGGGAACGTTTAACCAATTCCAACTGATATTTTCAAAAACCAGAGACTAAAAATTAAAATCCAATTTTAGTACTGTATCTGTCAAAATTTAAAGACTGATGCATTTTATTTTGAAAACATTGCAATATCCTGTCTGTAAAAATGGATGGAATGAGTGCCTTACTCAAGGGCACCTGGTTACTCAAGGAAATGCGGTAATTAAAAGACATGTTTTACCCACAACAGGAACAAGACCACCATGGCATAGCCAGTAAAATGAACAGAAAGGATAGTGCTGTGCAAAATCAGAAAAAAAGAAGAGAAGGTCCTGCTGTGGAGGGGGGTTTCTTTATTTTTCGTTTTTTTTCTTGGGGTGATTGATAGCAATCTGGAAGGAGTGGCAATAATGGGGTCCAGTCTGAGCAAACACCAGCAGCAGGCACTGAAAAAGTCCTGGGCGTCTGTCCAGCCCAGGGCCCTGGTCATGGGCAGGTCCACCTTTGTGGAAGTCCTGAGCAAGTACCCAGAGTACAAGGCGAGGTTCCCCAGGCTCAAGGATGTGCCCGGCGACCAGCTGCAGGGAAACAAGGCCCTGGACATTCACGTCATCTTGTTCACCCAGGTATAACTTACTGGTTCTCATTTTTTATTTTATTTTATTTCCTCCGCATTATTATTATTTTTTTTATCAATATGACTTGAGAAATCGTGGACCAGAAAAGGGACATGTTTCCGAGGTTCTTCGTATTTGTTTTGTTTTTAAATACTTTTTGAAGTTGAGAAGTGATTCTTGCCAAGTCATTATCGCACTGACCTTGGGTGGGATTATTCGCGCGCCGTTGTGAATGCGGGACTGAAATTTGTGAAGATGCTCTTGACAAGCAATTTTTGGTGTGCAAAAATTATGACCTGTGGACAATTGGATCTGACATGCACTTTTCTGACAGTCTTCAGCAGGAGAATCTGGAAATGTAGAGGGTAAACTGAAAAAAATAACTTGAGACAGTTATAGAATTTTGCAATACAGATAAAGTTTGGGCAAATTTCCAGATATGGTGGATTTGCAGTTGGACCTCAATGACTTTAATTAACTCAAGTCAAATACCTCTGTAAGTCAAATTTTTTCAAGCCCGTGCCTGAATGCCCTATTAATAAGCCAAATCGTATACCTACTTAACTAAAAGGTTTTCCTCCTCAAGCCTCTATAAATTATAATTTTCTTGAGGCCTTTAGGCTATTATTTTATTGACACAGGAAAGAGAGGAATAAATAAAAATGGAACTGGATGAATTTTGAAAGAGAGCAAAATGCAAATGAACCCTTGACTCCAAGTTCTGTATCCTGTCAACCCATTCAAGAAGCAATTCAAGGCCCTGAATATCAACAATTAAAATGTTTTTCCAAATTCTTCTTTCTCCACACACCCAAAATTCTTTTTCCCCCAACTGAAAACCTCCATAAATCAAATAGTTGATACTAAACTGTACCATGATGAAAACAGTACCACAATATCAACAGATTAAAATTTCCTGCAATTCTTCTCCCTTTCCCCTTGAAAAAATTCCCGGTTCCCAAAAACTGGAAACCTCCCAGCAAACTGGAATTATTATTTCGTCTTTTTTTTGCTTGCTAGAAGTTTGCATGAGGTTAGACATGTGTGTACTTGACTCAATGAATAAAAAAGTCTCCCCCCCCCCCTGTTCAAATAGCTAATCTGATTATCACATGTTTGTATGTGTGTTGTCATTGTCATCCGTTTTGAATTCATTTATTTTTCATAATTTTGGCTTGAACATCGATTTGAAGCAGCGGGTCAACTGCACTTGACTCAAAATAAAGCACCCAAGTATCTCTCTCTCTCTCTCTCTCTTTCCCCTACTTCCCCCGTCCCCACATTTTAAAATAGCCATATATCCATTTTAAACTGATCTAATTATTACGCGTTTTGCGTGTTCGTGTTGTCCTTGTCATTCGCTCGCTCGTTCGTTATTTATTTATTTATTTATTTATTTCAATTTTTTAAATTTCAGGCTGTTCGAGCAATGGTGGAGAACGTGGAGGACTTTGAGCTGGTGGACGAGGTGGCTCGTCGCATCGCCTACCGCCACGTGCGCATGGGCATCGACGAGACGGACTTGGACGTCGTCACGGCCGGCTTCATTGCCAAGGTGGCCGACGGGTCGGACGACGTGTGGCACGCGGCCGCCAAGTGCCTCAACCACAACATCGCCGACTACATGCGACGCATGAAGACGGCCGGCGACAACGGATGATGATGATGATGATGACCCAAGGCTGATGTTTCAATCTCCTTATTTTATTCCTTTTAGCATCAATCCAGCAGTGCAGTGCAGTATACAGTATATATCTTGATACTGTAAATGCACAACCAGGACAGAAACCTGGCTGAATGTGTGTGTGTGTGTGTGTGTGTGTGTGGATTACATTGTGAGACAGACAATTTCAGACTGGACAATGGAGTGTGACATAATATTTGAGACAGGGACAATTTGAGACAGGGACAATTTGAGACCAGGACAATTTGAGACAGGGACAATTTGAGACAGGGACAAATTTGAGACAGGGACAATTTGAGACAGGGACAATTTGAGACAGGGACAATTTGAGACAGAGACAATTTGAGACAGGGACAATTTGAGACAGGGACAATTTGAGACTGGACAATAGAGTGTGACATAATATTTGAGGCAGGGACAATTTGAGACAAACTTTTAGAAACTGTGCAATTGGAGACATGGGAATTTAGAGACATGGGCATTTAGAGACAGGGACAATTTGAGACAGGGACAATTTGAGACAGACAACTTGAAACAGAGACAACTTGAAACAGAGACAACTTGAAACAGAGACAACTTGAAACAGTTGCAAAATAACTCTGCACACGCAATGTTTTTTTACACGTAATTTTCTGGTTTTCCCAAGATTCTTTGTGAATCTTGAGGAATTTTATATTCTTTTAAAAATTTTAATATTTGAAAAATGCTTTGTTAGAAATATTCCATTATAACACTTGTGTGCACAAGTGAAATGTTTCACACAAGTGAATTTTATGACCTGCAGTCATAGTAAATAACCAGACATAATCCAAGCAATCCTGATACAATTTTTGAAGAAGATGGGGTCAACCTTTCCTGCATCTCACAGGTCACAGAGGAAAATGATGAGACTCCTGCACAAAAAAATCCCATGCGCAAAAAAAGAAACAGCTTGGAAACACTATGATCAGCTGTTTTTTTTTGTCCTTGACTTACTCAACTGAAGTTTCGAAAAATGACGACGTTGTTCTGGAAGCAGTAATTCTATTAGAAGTCGAGCATAAAATAAGTCAGGTGAATCAAGGTGCAAGTGATTTAGTATCACGATTTCGTCTTTGCCCTTCTTTTTTTGTGACCAGTGAAGTGTCGAAAAAAAAAACAACCTTGGAAGGCACTAGCTGTTTTACATTTAACAATTTTCTTCAAGGTACTGTACTCATTATTTTTGCGATAATAAAATCTCGGCCTCACGCCATTTGTCGAAAAATTTTTGGAACCAGGACTTCCGCAAAAGTAGCATTTCCTCAACAACAAAAAATAAATTATCCAGTTGAAAGGACAATATTGTATCCAAACGACGGAATATTTGTCATGAAGACAAAAATAAAAATGCAGCCGAGCGGAAAAAGTGCACAGTATTTTGCAACTCGTGGCCTTTGCGAAAAGAGTGACAAAACTCGCGACTGCGCGAACTCCTTTTGTTTTCACCTTTATTTTTTTATTTTATTTTTTATTTTTTTAGCACTACGCCAAGGTTACGACACTTTTGTGAGCTTCGAATAAATTTTGCCGCCTCGCGGAATTTTCATAAATAATGTACAGAAGTGCTCTTTTTTTTTCTGCCGGTTTATTTTCTTTTTGGGGGACACGAGTCGAGTTGCGAAAGCAGCATTGTTTTTATTTCGGACACACACACACACACATTAGTCTAACAAATTTTAAGAGATTTATGTGAGTTTCAAACACGTAATTCTTCTACAGATAGTTTATGTATGGGCGAACTATTCTTAGTTCTCGAATATTAACATTCTGGAAAATATCCTAGCTTCAACATTGGCGAAGGATAAATGAACTTTTCGTTTGTCAGATAATTATCTTTTTTTTTTTTGTACAAGGCTAAAATTTTGTAAGTTTGCGTGGTCGAAAATAAACAAAGTAAGACGAATAAAAGCTTCGTCAATCGTCTGATTTTTTTTTCCTCTCTCACAGAATGCAATAAAATCTATTGAGGCGATGAATAAAGTATAAGCTGATCGGAAGGAAAAAGCTTCACCCGGAAATTGGCCGGAAGTGGAATTTAAACCCTTCCCAAGACATTTCAGACGATAGTAATAAATTGACAAGAACTCTCTTTTTTATTGAACCTTACACGACGAAGACCCCGGAATTAGTTTTATCCTGTTATTTCTTCGCTTCGACGACCGGAAACAATAGGGAAAAATGAAATCAACCGAATGAAAAATCCCCCGGAAAGAAGGAATATGTCATTCTTTTTTTTCGTGCTTCCGTAACTTCCGGACAATCCGAAAATCGACCGATTGATTCGTTCCGGTCGATCGTGACCCATTTCCCACGAGACAAAAAGATTAATAAAAAAGAAATTTAAAAAAATGAGACGAACAATAAGTATAAAATTTTAAATACAGTAAATGCTTCAATAAGTCTCTTTAAAACAAAAAAGAGCAAAAATAGTCGAATCACCCACGACCCGAATTTTCCTTTTCTATTTTTTATTGATACAAAAAAACCAAAGCCTGCTGGGCTTTTATTTTTTTTCCCCCATTGGGGATGACAGGGGAAATATTTGCCTAGTCAATGGAAAAGCTGCTGCTTGTTTCTGCTGCTGACCAAGTGATGTTCCAGCAGATGGTCATCGCAGTGCCTCAGGGCCACTTGACTTTTTCTTATCTCAACAATTCCCTCAGCATTCTTCCCCCATCAGAAAACCAGAAGGCAAATACCTTTCGAATAAAGACTGGCTAGAAACTGAGTCAATGAATCCGAAACCACTGCTGAGTACATATTTACATGATTATGAGATTGACTGACTGTGTTTGAAAACCCTGAATTTAAAAAAAAGTTGAAATTGAGACTGGAGTTTCTTGGTACTTTCAGATTCCAGAAATTGAACAGAAGCCAAATATACTGAAGTTATTGAAGGAAACACTGCATTTGACTCTGCCCTGATTTCTGAAAGTACTGTATGTGGCATCAAACCATCAGTCTTCAAAACTAATGGTCCCCAAACTTTTTGGCCCATAGAGTGGACAATTTCCATAAAATGTTTTGCAGACGAGCAGCAAATTTCCAAAAAATGCTACAGTAGACCTGCAAAGTTTCCTACAATTTTTGCAGACTCAAAACTGTTTCTTCAAAGACTTAATGGAGGGTACTTGGGAAGTTTCTGTTTTTTGTTGTTGGAAAAAACAAGTCAAGAACCAACAGCTTTAATGGAATGTTTTCAAACAATTAAAAAGGTGAGCTTGAAGAAAGGTTTCTCAGAATGAAAATTTTAAATAATTTACTTCATCAAGTGGAAATTTGTCATGAGCGTTATTAGAAGGAAAAGCCAATACATGTTATGAGATCATTTTAACTGCCATTGTCTAGTCAAAATTTCAGAAAACATTGATTTAATGTCCTTCATTGCTGGTCTGTGGACCACAGTTTAGGGAACACTGTTCTAAACCAGTTACTGTACAGTATTTCTTTTTAAATAAGAAATATGCCACCAAGAGTGAATTTTGAGGAATCCTTGTCAGTATGACACAAATCCCTTTTTAATTCCCAATCATGATGCTTTCTTGTACGTGTTTCTCCCTTTGTTTTCATCTCTATCAAATGAGAAAGCCAACAGAGAAAGAAAATGGCACATACTGTATAGGCATTCAAAGATATTTATGTAGAAAGTGTTTCAAAACCAACTGCAAAAGCGATAATGGAGTCCATTAAAAGTAGTACCGTACTTCTCTTGGAGTATCTCTTTTTTAAATGCCAAATAATAGTCTAGAACAAAATGAGAGTGAGAAAGGAAAAAGCACTTTCAAGTGTGACACTTTTATTGCTCGGTTCAAAGCGGAAACCGAGACTCGAAAGATTGCGTCGACTGTTTATTCAACAGACGAGATCCTTTTATCCCCTCTCCAAAGCGTTTGACAATAAGAAAGTACAGTATTGCCTCAAATTTATTCGGATGTCTCTTCCCTATATCGACAAAGACTATAAGAGAGGATTTTGACGCTTTCTCGACAACTAACAAGAACAGAAAATAAGAAAGCTTTTAGAAAAATGTCCTCCTCCCCTTTCGAAATCAAATTTCAGCTCTGGGGAGAATAATGAAACTTTTGCAACGTGCAAAGACTTACTTGTTGTTTTCTATGCAATGATCGCGATCCTTTTTTTTGCGTTAGATTATTGTAATTGTTATCGACTGTATTATTAATATCATCGTCACTTTCTTCAACGTGTCGTTGGTGATGGGAAAGAATAACTGTGTCGTTCTCGTTCCCGTGACAAAAGCGTGATTGAAAGGAAAAAGGAGAGACTCGTTATTCCCGCTTATTGCTTTCAATGCGTCTTGTGTGGACACCATTCTCAAACCTTTGGGATTTTGTTTTTGCAGCACAAAAGAGCCTTGGTGAAATTTCGAAATTGGATTAGAAAGGGATCTTCGAAACGGTACGAGGACAATTGAGCTGCACTATCCAAAACACTGTGTGCCAAAAAAATACAGTAGGTAGAAAGTCATGCAAATTTCAGGAGGGATGTACAATTTTTTTCTCAAGTTGTGCTATTGAATGAGTGGAAATTATCCCTTGTGAGGTGAAGTTGGGATATTTTTGCAAAAACATGTGCCACTGAGCATTGGAAATTTAAAAAATCCTACTTTTGTACCAAGACCCAAGTTGGGAAAAAGTTTGATTTTTTTCAATCTAATTTTCTGCAGGATAAAAAAATATATTAATCACTGGGCAGCTCTTTTTCCTGCATTCCTGGCTAAGGATTTGCATGGGAGAATCCTGAAAACAAAAGAAAATTTGCCTCTGGGATTTTTCCCAACTCAGGCCTTCTGAACCTGGGAGCATTTCAGTGACCCTTGGGTCAAACTAAAATGCGCCATTTCCCAAAAAAATTCCAACTTGGCCACGCAATGAAAATACCCTCTGTAGTCCGAAGGTTACATAAATTTGTACTGAGGAATCTTCGATTGTTTCCTGGCTACTGTTCCAATTTCTTTCACGGACTCAGTTTGAAGTAGAAAATTAATTCAGAAATTTTAATAGGATTCATATTTTATTTACTTGCCAAATCTGTTCCTTTTTGCGATTTTGCAGACAATTTAAGCGCTGCGAAATATTTAAACAAACTCCAATAATTTAAGTAAATGTTCTTGAATTTTTTAATCGTTTAGTTCGTCACGAGAGAAAATTTTGACAAGGGATTTATTCAGCAATTTTTGAATAATTCTCAATTGAAACGCTTGTCTCACAA